AGAAGAAAGCATGCCAAATGAGTAGTTTTAATCAGTGATTTAGTACTTACGTATAAGTACATAACAAAACTTCATGTGCATGATTGTAAAATAAAGCAGTTACTTAAGAGGGGAAGGAAAGTGCACATTGCTTAAGACTTAACATTCCACAATTTTCAATAAATATTTCATATCCATGTGGCTGCAGCGCATTGTGCATCATGTAAAGGGCCCATCTGTTATGAGATTTTTTTGTGTTTAGCAGTTAATTGGTCTTTTGTTAATTTATTGCATTACCATATCTGAATTATCAGCTCTACCATGTGCTTTATGTTTCCAAATCTAACCACCCCCACCCCGTCCCCAAATAATTTATGTGGATAAACTTTGAACTTGCACTGGAAGAATTAAGTTTACCCTGAAACACTAGTAATGTGTGTCACATTTAAGAAACATCGATAATTTTGCTCTGCTGTGTTTAGGTGAAGTTGGTGGGGTCTGCTGAAGATTGAAACTGGTGGAATGTGTGCTGGAATCCATTTTATGTTAGGATTTGAAGTTCTCACAGCAGTGAGTATGAATGTGGCTGTCTTCTGGGTTGTAGTGCCATTTAGTCTGGTAGAAGAGTGATTGCCCTGATGCTGGAGGCAGCAAGGAGCTCTGAAATGTTGCTGAACTTCTACCAGACTACACAGCACTTCAAATCAGAAGATGGACATCTTTTTATAGTGTGATGTGTATTTTGGATAAGGTGAAGTGAAATTTTTTATTCTACTGTCTGAAGCTTTCACAGCAACTGAACTCAATCAAATCTTTTCAGGCAAAAATCCATATCATTTGTGACCATTTGTGGACACCATCTCTGCTTCCATTATCAGGGGAGTGATGTGAAAGTTTACTGCTAATTTTATATACAGGATTGAAGTTTCCTCCCATGCAGCCATTGGCCAGTGGGGAATAGTTGCCAAACCGAACTCAAAATCATTTGTTCGGAGTTTTTGTAACTGAACTATGAATCTGAGTAGTCCATTTATTGTTGGAAATCAGAGAATTGGGAAATTCTATGAATAAACAGTATGTCCATGGGCTTACAACTTGGCCCAGTAATAACTAATTTCCGTGTGGAATATTTTGAAGAGAGAGCACCAATAACCTTGTAATTTAGAAGCAGAAATGGAACATCTGAATAAAATATGTTTTAAAGAATAGGTTTGGTACAATGGAGGTTAAATGCACCCTTCACCCAAACAATATGCACGACTGCAGAGACCAAACCAACGAGCGTGGCCGTAATACCGTATATGCAGACTATTTGTGAAGAACAGCAGCATCCTGTTAATAGGTTGGCAAAGGACAAGTTAGGGTGTAATGTGCGAGTCATTTATCACATCGTGTGGCAAGGTGTATCTAGGACAGACAGATAGATGGTGCACCGTATCAGCCAGGTATAAAGAAAATAAGTGGCACATTTGTTTAAGTCTGCTGTTGGGGAACTTTGCGTAGAACCCCGTTTAAAAATTGACTTTGATGGGTTCACCATTCTTGCCAGGAGTGCAGGGTATGATGACAGATTTGTAAAGGAATCCATCAAAATCAAACTGCATTTGCATTCCAACAGTTTTAGCAGGGGCAACAGATTTATGCTGAGCAGGCATCCCTCTTCAGTGCACTTGAAAACATTAAGGAACATTTAGATGAACAGGTCTTGGGGGGGCAAACGGAACAAGGACTGAAGAGATACCAGATTAAGTGACAGTGTTTAGCCAGACACCAGAAGGGAGCCATGATGGTAGTGGATGTGAGAATTTCACAGACAACTGATGATTGGCCAATTTTTCCAGACAACACTGATTTGGCTACCCAGACCCTTGGTTCATTTGTGACAAC